CATGGGCAGAGACAGGGTGGTGGGTCACGTGTGTCTTTGGAGGGTCTGAGGGGAGGTGAAAAAATTTATAAAGTTTGCATCTGCTGTGGGACACTACACAAGAGCTCCTGTGACCATCCTGAGAATGGACAGCACACTGGGGTTGGGGAGGGAGCACACAGCCCACACATCAGCCTGGACAGAGGCACCCGGAAGGACTTCCTAGGCTTTAGAAAGTTCTAGACACTGAGTGACACAGCCCAGGGCAGGGGGCAGGTCTCTGTGGGGTGAAAAGGGATTTGTGATTGTGACCTGGGTGGAGGCCAGGTGACTCAGAAAAGCTGGGGTCAGGCCTCAGACACAGTGGGTGTGGGCAGCGCACAAGGCTTGAGAGAGAAGGTCCTTGAGGGTCCCAGAGCCCCTGCAGGGCCCGTGGCAACAGCTGATGGGCTATTTCAGGGGGGTCTCTCTGCACCCCAGGAGAGCCTGCACCCCTAACTGTCCCTGAGATGAGGAGGGTCCCTCTGGTACCTGACCTGACATGGAGGGGGACTCCCTCCCTGACCCAAGGAGGGGTGTCTGACACTGACTCCCTGTCCTGTCTCCTTGTAGGATCCCCAGCCCCAGGGTGAGGGGCGGCCCCAGGGCCCCTGGTACCTGGGAGCTGCAGGGTCTCCTTCCCTTTTTCCAGGTAAAGGCGGAGCCACTCCACACACAGGTCCTCCAGGTACCTCCTCATCCTCTTTGCCCAACCCTCTGCCTCCCACTTGCGCTGCGTGATCTGAGCCGCCATGTCGGCCGCGGTCCAGGAGGTCAGGTCCTCGTTCAGGGCGATGTAGTCGGCGCCATCGTAGGCGTGTTGATTGTACCCGCGGAGGAGGCGCCCATCGGGTCCCATGTTGCAGCCAAACATCCTCTGGTAGGTGTGAGACCCTGACCCCGCCCGAGGTCAACCCTGTCCCACCCGCCCCGCGGGGACTGAATTTAAAACTGAAAGTGAAATCGGGTCAAAGTCCCCGGGGCTCCTCCCGGGTGGGAGCCGGGCGGGTCTCGGCGTCTCGGGGTGAC